AACACACTTTAAACAGACAATCCGATTAGGAGACGGCAGCAGACGCGCCACTGGTGTCGGTTGCGAGCCATGTCCTGTAAAGTCTCAAGCCAAGCACAAGGTGAGTCACGTGGACTCCAGCCTGAAAGGCGAGACGGACCAACGGCACCCAGTTTGGTCGTCAGTGACTTCATTTCCCGCTGCCAAGTCAACTTCTGTCCACCTCGAGCCTTGCGCCATCCGACACCTGGTAGACTGAACAAGGCCTTCCTAGGTAAGCGGTGACCAGGCATGCGTAGCACGTGCCCGAGCCAACGTAACTTATTCAGTGCTATCTGTTGTTCTAGGGAGCTAGCATGATCATCACCCCCTAGTACTCGCCTACGCACATCATCGTTGCGGACACGCTGGTGCCATCCGACACCAGCAATGCTTTGCAAACAACGATGATCAAAGACTTGAAGGCGCCTCAGATCTTCAGACCGAAGGGGCCAAGTTTCACTACCATGGAGCAGAACGGCCCTCACTGTGGCCTTGTATACACGGCCTTTCAGACAGAGGGAAACTCCCTTCTGTCGCCAAAGATGACGCAGGTTCAAGAAGGCAGCTCTGGCCTTTGCAATGCGTGAGCTAACGTCAGTTTCTATGCGCCCATCATTGCTGATGCAGCTGCCAAGATAAGTGAATTGATCAACCACCTCGAGTTCCTCGTTAGCAAGCGTCAAGGGGTCATTGAGTGGCTGGTGGTCCTGCAGCAACACTTTGCACTTTGAAGGTGCGAAGTGCATACCAAATAATGGGACCACTCTGGATAGGCTATTCAGGGTTGATTGTGCCGCCTCAACATTGTCGAAAAGCAAGACGATATCGTCCGCATAATCTAGATCAACTAATTTTTCACCAGGCAGCACTTCAACGCCTACATCGTGAGATTTCGCAAGGGAACACTCCATGATAGAATCCACGACGAAATTGAACAAAAATGGGGAAATCGGGCAACCCTGTCGAACGCCACTTGTAGTCGAAAAGCTATCCGATAGGACACCATAGACCCTGACGCGGCCTCTAGTGTTCGAGAATAGAGCACGAATGATGTTCACATATTTCATGGGAACACCTTTCCGCGCAAGTATTTCGAACAGAATCGATCGATCGACTGAATCGAACGCACTCTTGAAATCGAGGGACACAGCTATTGTCGGTCTGCGGTATGCGTGGCGCTGCTCTAGCACCTGCCGCAAAGTAAATATATGGTCTATACAGCCACGTCCTGGGCGAAAACCGGCCTGCTCTTCTCTAATCCGAGATTCCCGTTCTGCAGTGAGGCGACGAACGATAATCGAGGCCAGTAATTTTGTCACAACTGGCGTTAGGCTAATACCCCTGTGGTTTGCACAATCTGTGCGACTGCCTTTTTCGTATATTGCCACTATAATCGATTCGCTCCAATTAGCCGGCACACTCTTCGTTCCAGATACGTTCGAATAGGGAGGTCAGTGCTTTGCAGAGGACCTCACCACCATCCTTAAATAGTGCAGGTGGTAGGGAATCCGGGCCAGCGGCACGAAAACGAGTAAGGGCTGTGATCGCGTTTCGGACTTCGGCCTCCGACGGAGGCTCTAAACTAACCGTCCATGGCTCGTCCTGCATCACCTGAGTAGGAAGAGGTCCGGGAGCAGGGGGCCAGCTGAACTGATGTTCAAAGTGCTCAGCCCAACGAGCCATACGGCGCTGCTTATTGTGTATCAGCGCACCCGCGCTGTCCCTGATTGTCTCACTGACACCTGGTTTTCTCGGACCAGTGGTGCGGATTAGCTGGAAGAGCTTGCGGTAATTGCCTACCGCTCCTGCCTCCTCCATTTCTTGAGCCCGACTGGTCCACCAGGCTTCCTTGTCAGCACGTAGGCTCCGTTTTAGCTCACGCCTAATAGCCCGTCTGGTCACATTGTGTTCAGAACCAGCCGGGAGGTGCCTTCTAGCTTCCAAAAGGTTCACGGACCTATTGACACTGCGCCTCAGTGGAATAGGATCTCGACCGCCATGCCCGACGCAGGAGCATCTGCTTGTGGTACTATCAGTTGTCACCACACCAGTCACTGGATATCCGAGAGGTCGGTGAATCTGTTGGAATACATACGAAAATTCTCGACCGACTGTGAGCACAATGTGACGAGACGGACTAATAGGCACGAACTAAAGCGGAGGCTGCGCGCTGACAACAAAGCCTGGTGGACCAGTCAGGCTCAAGAAATGGAGGAGGCGGGAACAGTAGGCGATTATCGCAAGCTCTTCCTACTGATCTGCACCACTGGTTCCAGTAAACCAGGCTTCAATGCAAAAATCAGAGAGCACTGGTGCCCTGGTTCACAATAGGGAGCGCCGTATAGATCGTTGAGCTGAGCACTTTCAAGATCAGTTCAGTTGGCCTCCTGCTTCCGAACGTTTTCCTACTCAGGTGATGCAGGATGAGTCATGGACGATTAGCTTAGAAGCTCCATCGATGACTGAAGTCCAAACGCATTCAAGCCCTCAACTATTTTAGTGCTGCTAGCCCGGATTTCCTCTCACCTGCACTATTTAAGGATGGTAAAGCCCTCTTCAAAGCACTGACTTCACTGTTCGAACATGTATGGAAGGAAGATACCCTCCCGGCTAACTGGAGCGAATAGATTATAGAAGCAATATACAAGAAGGGCAGTCGCAACGGGGTATTAGTCTAACGCTAGTTGTGACAAAGTTGCTGGTCTCAGTTCTCGTTCGTCGCCTCACTGCGGAACTGGAATCCTGGATTAAGGAAGAGCAGGCAGGTTTCCACCTAGGACGAAGTTATGTAGCATGTATTCACTTTGCGGCAGGTCTTAGAACAGCGCCACGCATACGGTAGACCGATAATAGCTATGTTTCTTGATTTCAAGAGTGCATTCGATTCAGTCGATCGATGCATTCTGTTCGAAATAGTTGTGCTGAAAATGTTTCCCTGAAATATGTGAACATTTTACGTGCTCCATACTCCAACGCGACGGGTCTACGCTGACTTGTCGGATATCTTTTAGACAACAGATGGCCTTCGTCAAGGTTGTCCAATTTCCCTATTTTTGTTCAATTTCCTCGTGGACTCCATCACGGAGTGTTGCCTTGCGGCATCTCGCGATGCATGTGTTGTGGTGTTGCCTGGTGTAAGGCTAGTTGAACTTGATTATGCGTCTCGCTGTGTAACGATGTTGGAGCGACCCAATCAACCCCGAATAGCCTCTCTAGAGTGGTCACATTATTCGGTATGCGCTTCGCACCTTTAAAATGCAGTGTTGTTTCAGGACCACCTGTCAATTGATAGCGGGGAACTCGAGGTAGGTGATCAATCCACTTATCTTGGCAGCTGTATCAGCAACGATGGATGTGTAGCTGCTGAGGTCAGTTCATATGTTCCAAAAGACAGAAGTGCCTTCTTGAATCTGCGACATCTTGGGCGACAGATAAGAGTTCCCCCCGTCTGGAAGATCGTGTTTACAAGACCACAGGAAGCACTGTCCTACTCTACTGGAGTGAGACTTGGTTCCTTCGATATGAGACAGCTTCAATTTTTTGATCATTGCTGGTATCGGGTGGCACCGGCTTGTCCGCAACGATTATGTGCGTAGGCGAGAGCTAAGCAGTGCTAACCAAGCTAGTTTCTTAGAACAACAGATAGCACTGAATAAGTTGCGTTGGCTTGGGCACGTACTACGTATGTTTGGTCACTGCTTACCTAGGAGGGCCTTTTTAGTCTGCCAGATGTAGAGTGGCGCAAGATTCGATCTGGACACAACTCTACTTGGCAGCGAGAAGTGAACTCACTGACGACCAAACTGGGTGCCGTTGATCCGTCTAGCCTTCCAGGTTGGAGTCCACGTGACTCGCTTTGTGCTTGCCTCGAAACTTTACCAGGACATTGTTCGCAGTCGACACCAGTGGCGTATCTGCTACCACCTTCTAGCCGGATTGCCTGTTTAAAGTATGTCTTGCTTATTTATCTGCGGGGTAATGGCTGATTATGACGCGGCACAGTGGAAGCCGCAAGGAAGCTGTCTCGCTGATGCCACCTTATCTTTGCACGATTACCAGCTGTTTGTGCCGGTATGTTGTTGGCAAGCCGTAGGCGCCTTGAGCCTTAATGTTTGTTTAGGGCATTAAGGTTTTCTGGTAAGTCCCCTTTCTCTGCCTCTTATTATTATTCTTTTCGTAGGTCGCCGTTGTATGGCAACGGCGCATCAGTTCAACTGACTGATGTAATGCTGCTGATGATGGTGGACAGCATTACGAAATTGAAGACCAAGCCATTGTATTGTGTTGCATGGGCAGGATATTGTCAGGTTACCTAGGCCTAGACAGAAGAACGATTAGGGTTCTCAACCAAACCCTTTGGTTCAAAAACCTTTGAGCAAGGCAGCTGATTTGGGCACTGAGTCCATTTTATGGACTAAGGAATCACCCTCACTCCAACCCCCAACCTAGATGGTCAGAAGACCGAGTTAGTCTGGCTTCTGACCATTGACCAATCTGGTTTCAATGGCTTTGAAGGTGCAAAAAAGCACCACCCAGCACAGCTCCATGGATCATTGAGGTACGCAAACCATCGCACCATGTTAACGTCCAGTCTCGTTGCGATGGAATATGGTTTATCTGAGGGATCAGTGCTACTCTTGCATCCGGCTTCTTGCTTCTTGCCGTTTGTTCCAATGTTCGATTTAATTTTTCAACTTTTCTGCTCTCGATATTCACTTGTTTTTTCACGTCATCTACTGTTGTTATTATTTTACTTCGGCGGCACAATTCGTAAACTTCGTATCCGGCGCGCTTCGGTACTTAGATCATAGTTTCCAGATCATGCACATGTTTTTGCCCGATTTAATTCGGCTCATTCGTCACCGTATTTTCTTTGATATCCAAACCCTCAGCTTTAACTGTGTATCATGCCATGTAGCAGTCTCGGTAACTGCTCATCCGTTAAACCTTCATTTTTCATTTAGAATCTTCTTTTTCAGCTATCAACATGGTACCACCTGTGAGGCTAGACCATTTTATGCCGCGTAGTGCAAGCACCCCTAAAGATCCTCGCCGGCCAGATGATGTATTCCTCAGACCCATGGGCACAAACCTCAGACGTACTTCTCGCATGTGCGTTCACAGTCTCATTGGTTTAGTTTTGATCTATTTTCACTACATTGTCGACCGATTCCGTTGGTTTTGACCTTACCGTTCCACCACGCAACCAGTGGTGGTCGCGTGATAGCAAAGCGTCAGTATGACCTAATTCCAGTTTCTTTGTTTTTTGCGTCTTACATAGTTCGAGGGAGGGAAATCTGACTGACCGAAAAACTTAAGAGATGTATTTAAGTTCATCGTTATATTGCTCCAAGTATAGCACAGAGAGATCAACAGCACACCAGCATTCTACATCGTTGTTTTGCTACCCGGGCACCCAGCTTCATGTGGGAGTCAGACGCGCAGCTGTTTCAGGCCAAACGCCTCGGCCTCTACTCCACGGATCCTTTGAGCGTTGCTTTAACATGTAAGATGACATCATGTTTTTCGGATTAAGTATGACGGGGGAATTTAATGGGACGTATAAACCATAAATCTATTGGTTTAGTGCCATTTTCTTCATGGTGAATTTAAAGATGTGGACACTATTGTCAGCGTGACAAGCGTTGCTTGCCATGACTCGGTGGCTTAGGGGTAGTGATTTCGGTTTAACATCCCAAAGGCCCTGTGTTTAATGCCTGCTATATCTACCTGATGAGGTCAAACAAGTTGTGGAGTGTTGTGTTTTTGAGTCGGGTAACACCCAGTATTCACCTACTGTCAGTGTTGTTCGCCGTCAAAATCTCACTCCACGACTTGCCTAGTTCCTTTTTTGCTTTTTCAATTATAGGGAGTAGGAACTCCAATGCATCCACTGTGCATCCGAACAAGCACTAGACGGCCGTTTCATCCACTCAAATATCGTCAGCAGTGTGGGATTGGTAGAATCTCCGATACCACTCTTACGAGCCCATGGGCAAGACAGCTCGGCCTCGGGAAATGTGTGACAGCCGCCGTGTTTGTGTGATTAGCTGTAACATATTGTGGCATTCAACCTCCACTGCCATTTGCGTTTCTAACCTTCAAAAGATAAAGTTGCCCTTTGAGACCTGACTTTCTTGATAAACTTCCATCTTCCGACTGCATTGTAATCTTTAACCATAGTTTGCCCGGCAACAATCCACACGCAAACTTTTAATCTATCGGTTAGTATCTTAGTTACTATTCTCTGCATGCGGCACTTATAACAACGGTTCATTGTTTATCTGGGGCGCACAACATGTCAAAATAGCAACAAAAAACATTTCAACAGAATAATCTGGATTCAGATACTTCACGTCTCCTCATCAGCTCTGTACAGACAATTTATGAAATCAGTATGCCGCACACACAACGGTAAGACAATGCGTGAAATCGTTATGTTTAAATAAAACTGATCGATAACCTCACTAGGGCAAGGCGAGGGTAGTCACAAACTCCGTCTGCTTGCATATGTTGGGATTTGAGCCAACGAATTGCTAACGCTCCTGCAAATTGGAGCAGACGAGCAATGTGCTGTCGAGTAAGGGTCCTGAGCGATTCCCGCAGGTGTTGGCACGTGGGGCAGTCGAGAATATTCTGTACGAGAGAGCTTGCAGGTAACTTAGGGTCATTTGCCACCAGATTGCGTAGGCATGTTCTGAAATCCTCCTAGACAGCCTCCTCTCAGTTCGGCCCACGTACTTGCTACCGTAAGTACAATAAAAGAGGTAGATACAGGAGGCGGTAACTGTAGAGTCTGGCCTGTCCAGGTCGGATTTACAGAACAACCTTTTAACTTGGTGGAGTAGGACCGGCTCAGTCGCACAATAGCATTTCTTAATGGACTATCGAAGACGATATCGAAATCGCCTGTCACTCTGTTCCCCTTTTAATAGCAGTGTGATGAATACCTTATTCTTAGGGACGTCGGCCTTACTTTCCTCGATATTTTTTGAGTGGCGTTTTATGATTCTCTCGGGATAGCCATACTCTCGTAGTGTTGGTGAGACATGTTTCAGCTCGTTGTCAATTGTTCCTTCGGAGCATGTTTTACGAGCTCTAGTGAAAATAGTGCGTACGAGAGCTCGTTTGTGGTTGATGGGGGAGAAACTGTTAACATTGATACTGTCCCGTCTAAGTAGGCTTACGGTACACTAATCGGGTGAGTGTACCATCCGGATTTCTTTTCAGTTTCACATCCACAGGCGTCGCAGGAGGTTGGTTTAGGGCTAAAGCAGTGGATCTAGCTAACCAATTTTTTAACGCTGTGATCGAAAAATGCAAGCTTTTGAGGACAGACCACTGGAATGCCTTGCAAGAACTGTGACAAAATGAAAAGGTAGGATTACTAAAACCCGACAAAGGGTCTGGGGTAGTTGTTCTTGAAAAACAAGCTTATGGTCGTAACATGCAAGCAATTCTTGAGGACACTAGTCGCTTTGTACGTGATTTAGCAATTAAACCGGACAAGTTGAAAGATCCATAATACACAAACTTCTAAGTCTACTGAAGGTTGGACTGATTGAAGCGAAAACCATTGCGCAGCTTTGCCCACGTGGAAGTCGACTTCCTCATATCTACAGTTTACCCAGGACTCACAAGTAGTCGCAATGTTTGGTGGTTATCCCGACTTATCGAGCTTATCCAATGCGAACTAACCAGCTATACCTTCAAGAATACATTTGACTTGGTCGACAAGATACGTGGTTTAAACGCAGACGGAAAACATATGGTTTCATTGGATGTTTGTTCATTGTTCACCAACGTTCCTTTAGAAGAAACCCTCGACATCATTGGGACCCATGCGGACAAAGTAGAGTTTCCGGCAAATCATCTCAAGTGGCTAATGCACCTGTGCACGAAAGATATTCAGTTCCAATTCAATGGAATAATATACCGACAAATAGACTGTGACCATGGACAGCCCATTTGGGCCAGTCCTAGCTGATATTTTTTCTTGGGCCACTTAGACAACACCAAATTTCTTCCTTTTGTACAAAATATGCATCTGTACAACAGACACCTAGATGATACGTTTTTTGTAGTTGATGACGCCCGTCAAGCAGCATATTTACTTGATGCTCTGAACCAATGCCATTCTTCGATCAAATTTACAATGAAAAACTAAGCAGATAACACTTTCCATTTTTTGGTGTGCGTCTGAAAAGAAATCCCAATGTACACCCACTCGATCGATATACCGTAAGCCTACTTGGATGCGACAGTATAGCGACTTTCTGTCCCATCAACTACAAACGAGCTATTGTACGGTCTATTTTTGCAAGAGCTCGTAAAATATGCTCCGAAGGAACAATTAACAACAAGCTGCAACATGTCTCACCAACGCTACGAGAGAACGAGTATCGCGAGTGGTTCATAAAACGTCACTCAAACCATCGCAATCAGGCTGGACCTTCACGCGGTGAGATGGTTTGTGTGCCTCAGTGATCTTTTGAGCTATGCTGCTTTGTTGTACCTTCAGAACCAATCATACCAGATTGCTCAATAGTTAGAGGCCAAACAAACTCAGCTTCCTGGTCCTCCAGGTTAGGTGTTGGAACGAGGGTGGCCTCTTATTCCTTAAAACGGACTCTTTGTAGCCCACCGCCAAGCCCGCTGCCTTGCGGTAAGGTATTTGAACCAAAGCCTTTGGCTGAGAACCCTAATTTTTCTCCTGTCTAGGCCTGGACAACTTGCCAGTATCCTACCTACGAAATACTATGAACCCTTCATTAAAAAATTTCTTGATGCCCTGGCAGCCGCAGAGGATAATCAACGGTGCCCTATCTGCTGCATCGAGCAGGGCAGATAGGGGTTTGGATGCTACTGCTCAGACCTTCCCGTCTTCTTATCCCCCTTGCGTTTTTTCACCCTTATCGTCCCGTTCCACCACTTTTATCCAATGCCTATCAAAGTACGCTGTCATGCGAGTTGGATAGACGCTCAATGGATGCAATTGAAGGTCACTGGTCTCATATTCACCAAACATTACTTGCAGCAGGAAAATCCTCATGTGGTATGTCTAATCGCCAACATGGACATTGGGTCTCTTCACAGTCTCTGGAACTTATAGATGCTCGCCGGCATATTCCGGCTGGAAGCGAACACAATGAAACTCGCAAAGAGCTCCGGGCAAAACTCCGTGCTAGCCTGAAGAGAGACCGCGAATCCTGGTGGTCTCATCGTGCATCAGAGATGGAAATGGCTGCTGCCCTTGGTAACCATCGTAAGTTATTCCGGCTGATACAGGAATCGGGCAGCAGAAGACCTGGTGTTAGTGAAACAACTTGTCAAAACGCTTGGAGCGTTGGGTCGAGCACTTTGAAACGCAATTTAATCGGCCGGAATTGTTAGATTTCTCGCCAGCCACTGATCGCCCCGCTCCCTGGGCTGTCCCTTTGGATCCACCCTCTCGCTCCGAAGTCGAATGTGAGATCGCACTGTCGAAGTTCAATAAAGCCGCGGGACCTGATGATCTTCATCCAGCCCTCTTCAAATTCGTGGGACGTGCTCTTTTGCATAATTTACACGAATTGCTAGTTAAACTGTGGGAGCAGGAAACTGTCCCAACCTACTGGAGCCGCCCTGTCAAAGTCCAAATTTTCAGGGGAGACTTACACTCGGAATGCGGCAACCATAAGGGAATCCAGTCTGATCTCCATCGCCTCCTAATTGCTTGCCTGTGTCATCCTTCACAGACTGACTGGCACTCGTGAAAGCCAAATTCGTGAAGAGCAAGCTGGATTTCGTCGAGGTCGTGGCTGCATTGACCACATCTTCACTTTGCGTCAGTTGGAGCGCCGTCACATATATTGGAGGCTCACTGTTGTCTTGTTCCTCGATATCAAAGGTGCATTCGATTCCGTGGATTGACATACACTTTGGAACTGTCTACTCAGGAAAGGTGTACCTGAGAAATATGTGAATATTATCCGAGCATTATACGCGCGTAGCTTGGGCAGAGTGAGGGCTTACCGCAAGTTGTCGTCGCTCTTTAATATCTCCAGCGGTGTGAGACAAGGATGCCCGCTGTCACCTTTCTTCTTCAACTTTGCTGTTGACGAAGTCATGGAAATCACGTTCACAGGACACGACTTTGAAGGTGTGGATCTGCCTCCAGGAGAACGACTTCTTAACTTAAAGTTTGCTCACGATATTGCCCTAATCTGGGACAGCTCCTAGACTGCCAAGCTGCACTGGAGAGATTAGCACTAGCTGTCCGTCACTTCGAGCTTTGTTTCGCACCTTCGAAATGCAAAGCGTTCCTTTAGGTTTGGCCTGGACCGTCTCCTTCGCTGACCGTTGGTGGGGATCAGCTAGAAGTCGTTCAGAAATTCAACTACCTGGGAATTTGTATCAGCGCCCGTGTGATTGGAGATGAGATCACGAACCGTATGGCAAAAGTTCGGGGCGCTTTTGCTAACCTTCGCCACTTATGGTGCCGTCGCGACATCACTCTTGCCCTGAAGGGTAGAGTGTACAAAGCAGCGGTACGTTCGACCCTACTGTACGGTTGCGAAACCTGGCCCCTTAAAGCACCGGACCTGAAGAGGCTAGTTACGTTCGACCACCGATGCCTTCGCAATTTAGCTCACATCTGGTGGGAACACCGCGTGAGCAACGAGCGTGTTCGGCGCTTTGTTTACGGCACAGGAAAAGGAAATGAACCGCTCAGCACTGTTATTTCACGCACCAGGCTCCGATGGCTCGGCCACGTGTTACGCATGCCAGCCCACCGACTCTCGCGACGTGCGTTGTTTGCGCACCGGGGGTGTGGATGGAAGAAGAGGAGGGGTGGCCAAGCGATGACTTGGTCAAGAGGAATGAAGGTCCTCATTTCGAAGCTGGCCTCGGTTGGAGCGTCTCGGCTCCTTTGTTGGGGTCCGAAGGACGATGAACACGTTTGGCTGGGTACAGTTGTCGATATTGCTAGGAGCCGACCTCAGTGGCGTTGGTGCTGTGAGTTTCTTTGTCCCACCCCATCCTTCTTAGCCTCACCCTCCACCCACTGCTCGTTATGTAATGTTTTATAATTTTGCATAGGAAATTACTTTTGTGCTGCACAGTAGCCGACTGGTAGCTTGCCGGAACGATGCCCATCCGTTACCGGTAGCTCAGCCGGCTTGCACCTGTTGCATTTTATTCCTCTCTTTTCTTTTGTGTATTGCGGCACAGTAGCTGGGGTGTTTCCCTCCTCTAGCTCACGTGTATAGTATGTGTGTATGGGCACACCGACTTTCGTGTGCTGTTTAGTAGGTAGTCGTTGTGTATGCGGTTTCTACCACTACCTTCTCACAGTTCAGTTTAGCGGTTAACTGAGATCCATCTACCGAAGTGCAGTAGATCCAGCTGTCTTGATTCGCTTAACCAAAACATTATTGTTAAATAAACCAAAATTTTCGATCAATGGGATACTTAAAATTTTACTTCGGTTCATCGCAACTAGATTACAAATCGCAAGCATTTGCTTCCCATCCGAAAAGGCACCAGGCCATCGTTTCACCCTATTTGTGTTCATCATTGGTGCGCATTCCCTCGGTTCCTTGCTGGGGATCGAACCCATGACCGCTAGTGGCTTGCACCACTAGCTAGCAGCTTATGCCACTGAGCCATGCGGGGACGATAATAATAATAATGATAATGTGTCAGCTGTACGCCGTAACGGCGCTTCGCTGCCGCGCGACCACCACCAGTCGCGCGCGGGCTGAGTATACCGCGAGGACGCCAACCCCTACGCGGGGACGATAACTGACCATCACGGATTTAAACCTAACTGCGTTATAGCCCGACCCATCCTCCACTGCCATGCAGCTTATTACTCGTGCAGAGGACAGTGGCTGGTCTTCCGGATTATGACTTAACTTGCCAGTGCCATGAACGCACACAGCATTTTGATGACTGGTAGGGTTAATTTTTTATCGCTGTTTAGAATTGCCAGTGTTTCAGTTCAGTTTGTATGCTAACATCCGTGCACTGAGTTGCAGTGGACTCAGTTGTCAATACTTACGTCGCCAAAATATGTGCTCTGAATATAACAAATATAGTCACTGACGGTATTGTTGAGTATCAGAAACAAGGGCATTGGTGCAAAAGTGTCATCGAATTCCTGGTTATACTAATCTTCGGTGGAATTGTCATCCTAAATAAACTAATGCAACAGCGCCATCAATGTCGCAAGTGCACCATATCTGATAGCTACATAAGTCTTGTGTTTTCACTAGCGTTTTTGGCCTCACGATCAGCATAATTGATGCATCTAATGGTGACCACACCCGTCTAACACTCCAAACGCTCGTCCGGTTTTCATGGTAATTAGTTGTGTGGGCCCAGTTCTGTTACAGAACTTTGCAGTTCGCATCAGCCTATTCAGAAACGCTTGTGTAGTAGCTGGGTCCAACCAAAAAACAACTTGTCTTCCGCTTAAGCTACGATTGACAGTCAGTCATCAGACAGATCCTCCGCACCTACAGTGGGATCAAGTAAGCGAGTCAGTCATCCTCGTTTCGATTGCAATCTTGAGGAGAAAGTGGGACATACGAGAGGGTGCTGACGAGTTCCTGGCTTTGACCAGAAATAAGAGAGCTAGAGTCATTAAATGACACTGTGATTCAACGTATTTACCTATAAGACTTATGCACTTGGTACGGCTTGTTACCGGAGCCCGTCCATAGCAGCCATCAAAGCTAGCTCTCTGTGTGTGTCTGGAGCAGCCCGGAGATGATTGGTTGTATGTCGTCTGTAGCCGACTGACTAACCAATGGAAGTAAGCCAATGGCGTCGTTTTACCTTGAGGTGGACCAATCAGCATGATGTAGCTTGAAGCCCTCCAGTAAGCACACTACTTACTCAGCCGACAAGCGAACTTTTGCGCATCTAATAGTTGCCATAGTCAGGAACTTTCAATTAGGTCTTCTCTCATGAACTAGTTATTTCGACCCAACATTTTGGCTGTACATTCTGCCTTCCTAGTGTTCCATACAAGTTCCACCGGAGGCCTTTGTTTTCTGATTTGGAAAGTAGCTGTATCGCGACCAGAGTGGCTGCATCGGTTATCCGTACTGTCAGCTCAAACACAACACAGCGTATTTGCAGTTTTTCTAGACTGGTCATTTGGGCGTGCTTCAAACCAACTATCAGCAGCATATTTAACGTCAGAAATGTCTCCAAAACGTCTCCCCTTCAGATGTTTCTTCAAGTTCGGGTAGGGATAATAATCAGAGGGGGCCAGATCAGGTGGGTAGGTGATGGTGAACCAATTGGAAACTCAAGGCATTCGATTTGGCAACCACAACATTGGATATGTGCGCAGATGCATTGTCTTACAACAGAAGGATGTCTTTGATTAGCTTTCTACGGAGTTTTCTTTTAATACCCTCGCTCAACTGGTCCGGTAGGTTGGCGTAATACTGTCCGGTGATACTGGATCCCTGAGGAAAGTAGTCCGGCAACAGAACACCGTTCTTGTCCCGGAAAATGGGCGCCAAGCCCTTGTTGGTTGACTTTTGGGTGCGGAACTTACTTAGCCGCGGAAACCCCGCTGTGGCGCCATTCCCTTGACTGTTTCTTGGTTTCAGGATCATATATATATATATATATATATATATATATATATATATATAATTATATTTCATTCTCGGTCACTAACCTAGTCAAAAAGTCCTACGTAGCTTCAAAATGGGCCGGAATGTTTTCGGATAATTCAACTCGCTTCTGTTTCTGATCACTGGTCGAACATTTCGGCACCTACTTTTCAGGAGGCTTACGCATGTCCAGGATAGTAAAACTAGCAAACGCAACACGCTGTTGTGTGATGTACAGAGTATCTGGGCAATCTTTTTAGCGGATATTCGCCGGTCTCCATGATCAGCCTCACAGGTTGCCCACTGCGTCTTAAAACGATATATTCAAGTTTTTACAGTGCTGTAGGAAGGGCACTTCTCCCCCAGTGTATGTAACGTTTCATTGTGAATTACTTTCACGCACGTTTTCTGGAAAAACAAAAGCTTCCTGACAATCTGTAGCTCAAAAGACGTGAAACTTTCTTCCGTCTCTGCCATTACAACTTCTACCTAAAATACCATTATTGACTAAGATAATAACGTCTCCTTTCCTCAATTTTTCTCTGTTTTGTCTGGAGGGGTGTAAAACCAGTAACTTATCAGCAGTCTCTCGTAGGGGGTACCGTTGCGAACTTAAGAAAACGTTACCCGGGAGTCATGGTTTAGAAATTTTAGAATTGGATGGGATCTTTCGGGTGCCCACCGGTAACAGATGTAATCAGGAGAATCGAAGGTGGTTTTCTGGCTTTATCTCCTAACATAGGGACATCATCCATCTAAAGAGTGCTACCGTGTCTTCCGTTCGGTCTGAAAAGCCAGTGCTGTAATATTTCAAACCATCTATTGTACTCTGTAGTTGATACTGTTTAGTCATGATCCGATACATTATGCTTTAAGATATTGACTGGATATCTAATTATTTCGATATTTTTCGCCCCTCATTTAGTCTGCCTCAATCCGAAAAGCAGATCAACGTCTCACACGGACCCGATGCACCAGATTCGTCGGCCCGCGTTCGCAACAAACGTAATTCCAAAACCAGGAGACTGGATCCAGGTGCGTTGCTTTGTTTACTCATCTCTCTACTATTTTTTCGTGGTATACAAGAGGTCAATCGCCGCAAATTACACGCGCTTTAGCTTCATTATTTTAACCGTTTTTCCTCCCCATTTCATCCCTGATTCAGAGACAGCAAGTCGCCTCAGTGAGGTTATGGTACCCTCCACATCGCGCGCTCCTCTTCGGCCCTCAACATCCTGTGGTACACAACAACAAACCCAGAAATCAACTGCAAGAAGCTCTTCTACTCTAAATAAGTCAAAGCGACGACGTAGATGTTATCGGAGAGTTTTCCGAGAAATTCACGCATACCAAAAGACGTCGTCGTTGTTAATCAGGTTTGTTGTCCCAATCTCCTATGTTCTCCTGTTGTGTTGCCTATGGGTTACACGACACACATGCCTAATCAGCATAGCAATTACTGTGCTGTGGCCGCAGCTCGTCCTGTTCGGGTTCAGGTCCCTTATACACCCTCGTTTCGAGCCTAGGTGCTCTGGCAACCTCCCATGTGCATACAATACTTCTTGGAAGTGAGCATCACTGTGGTATGCATGTCCCTTTAGTCTGGTTCAAGTGTAATGTGGATATGCATGTTAGCCTGTTGCATACTTCAGATCCCGACGAATCAGACGGTTCGTAGTGCATTGTATCTCTAAAAACCCCAAGATCCATGTATCTGTATCCAATTAAGACGTCTTACCCCTTTGCCTCAACAATCCACTACTCACCCATATCTGAACTACGAAACGCGAACAAACATAGCTGAACATTTGCCCATTAACTATTGATTCGTAGTGGCGTTCCCGACAAATCCGCTGTCAACACTTCACATCATTCCGCCGAGGCCGAACTTGAAACTCCAGGATTAGTAGAGGCCGAACGACTCCTTACGTTTCATCTATGTTGTCTTGGGGACGAGGTCATCTTCACTGCTAGTGACTAGACCGTTAAGTGGTCTGATCGGCGCACCAAAATATTCTCAAATTCCAGTCATGCTTTTTCTCTGATCTAGCTGCCCTATGTAGTACTTTGGCATAAGCGGTGCTATGACCTAAGCGACAAGTGCCAACAGGCCGTCATTGGCCGTTCTCATCTTTAACTATAATTTCTCTACACATCTCGTTTGTATGGGCACTGTTCATCCTTGCTTATGGCCCAATACTGTGGTGTTCCTCACATGCGCACTGCACTTGCTATTGTATCACTCTGTCTATCTCTCCGCCCCTGGATTACTCTCTTCCTGCAGCATGCGGAGTAGGGACCTCGTTGGCGTACGCGTTAAACCATGCATCTTTCAGAAGTTGAAAATCCTGGTTTGATGCTCAAATTTCCCCTATGACTTGGTTACTCTATCGCCATCTTGCCACTACTGACTACTCACGTTTATACGTCACAAGCATCGTTCCTGGTTGGCGGCGCAACTTCTCATTTGGTCCACGGCAATAGTTGTCGTTGTGCTGTCGACTAGGGCGACCCACAAGGACAAAAAATCGGTGCACCTTTATCACGTCAAAAACAGTCCAACTAGTCCACAGGAGCTATGGAGCAATCCAATAGTTTATGATAACAAGCGACTGTTCTGAACAATGACGAGTTAACTGTTAACGTTCGCGACGCGACGCCGTGTGACCCCAGATTGACGCTATTATCCCTCATGAATGGTTCCAGTCAGAAGAAATTATCTAGTCTATTACTACGGACCTTGTGCCTAAATTTGGTAGAGTTTGATGGCTAAACCTATATGCACAATTGCTTCCAAACCCGATAATTCAACGAATCATTATTTTATGCAACCTGTTCCCTTGAGAAATTTCAACAGAGTAAGAACAGCCAGCATTTCTCGAGGTAGACTGAATTCAGTTTGTGTATTCTCAATCAGTCGCTTACAAACGTACAGTGGAAGGATTTAGTGATTGCATGTATTATTATTACTATTATTATTATTCAATACCTGACCAATATACAGTTGGCAGTGCCATAACACAGTTAACAACAACAACAACAACAACAACAAAAAGGGAGAAACTGGTAGACAGTGGAAAGGTTTACGAGGTTTGTGTATTGTACGGGCAATGAGTACATGTGACATGGAATCAATCACTCTTTGATCTTCTTACCACCACTAAACGTTGTCATCCTAATCCATTCTCTTAAATGGGACTTCTGCGGTATCAGTCATACTATTTTCGTACTATCTAAGCAAATCGGCACCTAGTTCCTTGTTAGTTAGACATCTGTGGTTTGTACATAATGGGGGTCACTCACGTTTTGGCTTTTGCTAGTGATCCATAGCGACAGTCTCATCCGCTGCAACTTCGCCTCCAGAACTCTCTACTGGCCTTAGTTCTCTGCCTGAGTCACATTTCCTTCGTCTGTCTGGTTACTCCTTTAACTAAATTGTTCATTTCCGAATGGCTTTATTGAATGGGTAGCGCACTTAATATGTCACACGATATCTTACAACACCGTTTGGTCACACTTTACCTTTCCTTGGCACTATCGATAAGTATATTCCGCGCAAACCTAAATGCTCTACCGTTTGGGGTCTTTACCAGAAGCAGCGTTGTTAAACGGAGCTTCCGAATAATATCACATTGTCGGCTTCTACGCATAAGGATACTTCAACAACGCCGTTCGCGCTGATTGAGAGCAATTCGGCTCTCACTTAATCACCTATTTTCACAGAATACTAAACTCTAACTACTGAATGACAAGATTAGTGCTCCGCACACCTACGACGATGGACACCTATTCTTGCAATGGACTACGTTTTCACACCATACGTAGTGTAATATCCACTGAAAAGAATGGTGATGGCGGGAATTTGCTAGGATTAGCTTACTACTGGGATCGTTAGGGCGACTGGTCGGGCAGGGTGATCACAGATTCACTTGGATGTCTAGAGCAGGACACACATCATTAGACAGAGTGGTACTTATTTATTCTTGCTCAGGAGGGTTCATCCATTTCAAAGCAACTGGTACAGCGCTTCGTCATGAAATGTTTCACTTCCTTACCATTCTGCCAGATAGTATATTGACACTGCTATGTGGCTAGGATGTCACTTTTCGAGTATCGTTATCCACTGGGAATCATATCCTCTATCAAGGCACATCATCCTCACACGGTGCTGATGGATTCTCACGCGTGCGTTCGCTCTCATAAATTGCCGTAAAACGTCGGCTCTAATGCGATCTTGGCACATTCATGACAAACCGTTCCCTGGGTCATTACTACCTGGTTTCATTGCAAAAATCTAAGCTTCCGCATATTTCTCTAAGCCAGTCATTGTTTGTGATTGATTCAGGCGTCTACATTGCAATCCCAAAGTCGCCGGTTCCAGCCTGCGTAGGTATAGGTGACTTCGCAGCACCCCGGCCCGCACGCGCGACTGTTGATGGTGGTCTCGCGGTACCGAAGTGCCAACGTAGTACCGATGCCTTCTTTTTCATATATGCTGTTTCAGTAGGTGCTGTCCCCGAGTCCACATTTCGTTCCGCAATGTGAGTGTGCAATGATCAGTTGTGTCTCGGCGAGTGGTGAACAGTACTTACTTTTCCGGACGCAGGACAAAATTTGGGATGGCTTCATCTATCCTCAAGAGTTTTACATCTGGTGTGGTTTACACTTGCACTCAACTGCCAGGTCTACATGAAGACAATGTTCACTGGGTCATCGACAACAAGACATACCTCAGTACTTTATAGTGTTGCATCGTTGATGTACGACCATAACGACCCTACTTATGAACACTGATAATAAAGGGGAGAGGAGACTTGATGTAGAACTTAAATTCCCTAACCAACATTCAGAATCAAGGCGCCCTCACTCTGCTAACAACACACAGTTACAGACGGCTGTCTATCTTGTGAAGACGACGTTGACGAGACAGCTTCTTTGTGACTTTTACTGTCCCACTTCCTAATCGAGCTTAACTCATAGGCAACTTAGCATTACGCAAGCCTTAAACAGATGGCACCAGTGTAGACCCTTCACTGATGCTAGTCGCGTTTCGAGGCAGGCACTGAGGGTAGGCGGGATTACGTGTGCTTCGGTCTGGAAAGTGGAACGCATCAGAAGCATCCAGCCTAGCTGTCCGCGACTTCATTTCTCGCTGCCAATTCAGTGATCGACTCTCTCGAGATTTATGCCATCTTAGATTTGATACACTAACTAAGCTTCTTCTTGGTCAACAGTGGGTGAGTTGCATGGTAGCAACTAATTCAGTCTTGTTTGTGGTGCTAAGCAACTGATTTGGGTACCGCCGCTTTGTATTCATTTGCGCATCTCATCATTTCGGATATGTCGGTATCAAACAATTCCAACTGCTGCTCCTTAGGCAACGATGGCAAGAGGTTTAAGGGCATCCAAGCTACTCGAACTAAAGGGACTGTCTCACTACCATAGTAAAGTTCCGTAAACCTGTTCTTTAAGAGCAACGAAATCCCCGTGGTTCGCTAAAAATGCCACAGATTCATGAAGACAGTTTTGTCTTTTGCGATGCCTAAGCTATTTTCAGCAAACCAAACCGTCTCTGTCAATGCAGCTGGCAGTATACTGTGTGTAGCGATACTTCTCACCCTGAAGATTCCGTGCTCATAACCGATTATAGGACTGTTCCTCCTCATGTTTGCCGAAGTGTAGTACGATGTGCACACAGTTTAGACGAACCAGTTCCTCCTGGCGCAGCACTTTATACCTCCACTGTGAAACTCCAAGGAAAAACATCTCATGGTGTATTCTGCGACAAAAGTGAATGGGTATGGGATTACACTGACGGACGCCAAGAATCGTCCGGCTGGCTTCCGATAGGTCTCGATTCAACTTGAAGTGTTTGAGTACATCGTTGTAACTTTTCACCTATACAACAGCAACGCATTGCCGTGCACATATATCGAACAGGATCATCCGAGTTGGATGCACTCTTAAAGTCGATGAACACAACCACAGCCGGTCTATTGTGCCTGTAACGCCGCTCTACCATGTGCCACAGAGTGAAAGTGTGATTAGTGCAGTCCAGTCCTGGTCAGAAGTCTACCTGCTCTTCTCCTGTCCGGGATTTTCCTTTTCGCATTGTGTCTGCAGACGAGAATGAATATCAATGACTGTCAAGCTAGCACTTCTGTGATATGGAATAGCGCTAAAAGTACCCCTCCTGTATGTGTCTACTACGATTTTCGCCATTCGTTTTGGGCAGTCGTCCTTCCATGCTTGTTTAAACGGCTAGATCGGTTCTTTGCGGATGATCTCACCGCCATCCGTGAATAGCGCCGGCATGAAAGGATCCGGATCAGCAGCACGGAAACGGTTTAAGACTTGGATTACATCTTGAACGTCG